TTGTAGACGTTTGTACCACCGTCGGTTTCGTTTGTACCCCCGAGGGGGTGATTGTACCGAATTTTTAAGATAGGGCTGATAGCTAATTCCGCCAATTTTAAAGATATCTTAAATCTGTAAACGGGTGCTGTTTCGGCATCGCTTGTAGACGTTTGTACCACCGTCGGTTTCGTTTGTACCCCCGAGGGGGTGATTGTACCGAATTTTCAAAACAGTGTTTAGACCTAACCTCGATGTTTTTGGAAATACCTTAACTTCGCAAAATGTTACTGTTACGGAGTCTGTTAGTGCCTCTTTGTACGACTGTTATTTTCCTTTTCAGTTCTGTTGTGTCTTGACAGACACGTTTTGACCTTTTCTGCATATATTCACTGATATATGGGACCGTTTTTAATGCCGTATCCGATCGGCTTTTTTCCAGAAGAGGTTCTCATTACGAAGATGCTCTCGGTGGTTTGGCATTGCCTAACGACATAAAATATCAAATGTAAACAAAAATAAAAATAATAAATTAATAAAAAATAGGAAAAAAAAGTTATAAAAGCGATGGGATGTCGAGTAGCCTCGAGGTTTAAGGCGGCCGAGTCGCAATTTCCAGATCCGACTTCGATTTCGTCTACGACACATATACGCATTTCACGGCATTTCTGTCGAAAGGCAATGCCAAACCACCGAGAGCATCTTCGTAATGAGAACCTCTTCTGGAAAAAAGCCGATCGGATACGGCATTAAAAACTGTAGGTCCCATATATCAGTGGATATATGCAGAAAAGGTCAAAACGTGTCTGTCAAGAGACAACAGAACTGAAAAGGAAAATAACAGTCGTACAAGGGGGCACTAACAGACTCCGTAACAGTAACATTTTGCGAAGTTAAGGTATTTCCAAAAACATCGAGGTTAGGTCTAAACACTGTTTTGAAAATTCGGTACAATCACCCCCTCGGGGGTACAAACGAAACCGACGGTGGTACAAACGTCTACAAGCGATGCCGAAACAGCACCCGTTTACAGATTTAAGACATCTTTAAAATTGGCGGAATTAGCTATCAGCCCTATCTTAAAAATTCGGTACAATCACCCCCTCGGGGGTACAAACGAAACCGACGGTGGTACAAACGTCTACAAGCGATGCCGAAACAGCACCCGTTTACAGATTTAAGATATCTTTAAAATTGGCGAAATTAGCTCTCACCCCTATCTTAAAAATTCGGTACATTCA